GCTGCAGCTAAACCAGCAAAGATTAAAGGTAAGAAAGGTAAAAATCCACCTTTTTTAGTTAAATTCTCATCAATTCTTTCCAAGTCTATATCGTCTCTGACTTTGCAATGTTTGTATTTATCGATAATCTTTTGGGTTATATGCACTTTTTTACCGTTGTAAGTTATTAGAGTCGGCGAATTCGTTTCCATAGCTTCTATTATTTTCATAACTAAAGTTTCTGGTTTCATTTTTAAAGGGTGTTTTTTATTCAATTCTTATCATTCTTCTATCTGATATTTTAATCAAATGTTTTGCTTCTTCCAGCAATAAACAGTAGCCGGTCACATCTCCTTGTGTTTTATCATGTGAATATTTATGTTTACCCCTGTTTTGAAAAGATCTTCTTGATGAGCTGACGGATCGAAACAAAAGATTGGATGATTGAGTGAAAAATCTGTGTATTCAAACTGAGGCGTATTTCCAAACAATTCGCACATGTTTTTATAGTTTCTGTACAATTCGTTGTAATCTTTTTTGGAAGGATCAATTGTCAAAGGTTGATCCGGATAATTATCGTTGTTCAATCTGACTTGAGCTTTGCGAATGATGGGATCTTGAGTATGGTTCAATGTTGTTGTTGTTTGTCTGAGAGTCTGGCAAGTTTTTGAAACCGACCATTAGATATTTGACGCTGTTGGTGATTGGCCACGTGGTGGATTCTCCCGTTAAAGTCATGCTACCTACCGTGTTACGATGAAGAAAAGCAATTTCGATGTCTTTGGTTAAAGAGTTGAATATTCTCGTTTCCACTTCTACGGAAGGAGTAATTACCGGTATGTAAAGTTGGATATTCGTTATTTCCAATTTTGCGTCAGAGTTGTTTTCACCAAAGAATATCTTGTTGTCGTTGATTTCTCTTTGCAAATGAATTTTATACGGTAAACCTATAGAAACCTTTCTGTGTTCCAAAAGACCAAATAAAGGATACAACTTCCAATTTACGTAATTACCCCATCTGTTGTTCTCGACAACGTTGTTGTATTGAAGCGCTCGTTTTTCAAATCCGTGATTTACTCCGCGAGTCACTCTTTCCAGTGTGTTTCTAGCGACTACCCTTATCCTAGCAAGGTCTGCGTCATTTGCTACAGTTCTGACCGGTTCTTTTAAAACTTCTCCGTCACCGACATCGGGAATCCGTCCCGAAAATGAATGGTAGTTTTTGGGATAGAGAACCGTTTTCAACATTGTGTCAAATTCGCCGGGGTGTTTTATGGTCTCTATCGGATTTGAACCAGCTTCCAAAACCATTTCGCTGAATAAAGACGGAAAGAAGTTGTTTTCTAAAGTCGTGTTGGTTTGTGGAATTCGATTCTGAGTGGCGTCTTTGATTTTGAAATCGCATTGGAAATGGGCATCGGAAAGCAGCAACCAATTGGACAACGAATTAATTTCAAAGGTAGCTCTTCCTCCGTCGTTTATTTGGGTCTTTGTCCCTACCGATGGTGAGATGATTACGTAATCCTCTTTCTTCTTGT